GGAGGAGGAGGAGGAGGAGGAGGAGGGGAGGGGCGGCTGGCAGAAGTAGCCAGGCCAGGTTGAAGACCCTGGAGGGTTCCGAGGGGACACCAGGAGAGTCCGCAAGGGAACCCAGAGGGGGCAAGACGCAATACTGCCTGGGGGGGCTCAAGACCCTTGTTCCTCTTCCACAAGGCCGCCTGCAGATTACACTCAGCGAAGCTCCAAGGACGGAGGGAGGTGGTCAGTGGCAATTCATGGGATCTTTAGAAAGGGAAGAACACTGCTGCTGCTGCTGCTGCTGCTTCTTTTGGACACAAGGCTGCACGGACGAGTCTCTTAACACTACTGGCAGAAGGGGGAGGCGGTCGGGTCAAACCCTTTAAAAACATCCTTCAGCGAGGCTGCATCCTGCACCTCCCCTTCCTGGACAGGGCTGTTCCCTGCAAAAGGGCTGCCTGGCCCCGACTTGGCCGCCTGCTTCACCAAGCCATACACCGGCGGCACGGGGAGATTGTGGACGCCAGGCTGAGTGACAGCTGTCTCTACAGCAGGCACTGTGGAAGCAGGAGCGGAAGGGGCTGCCTTGGGCCGTGGGCGATTGTAGCTGTTGTAGCGGTCGGTGGCTGGCTCTGGGCTGGGCTTCTCGCCTTCCGGCTGGTCCAAAGCTGACCGGCGCACAAACAGCGGCTCCTTCCCTCTGTTGCCGCCGCCGCTGCTGCCGCCGCCTTTGCTGCCTTCAGCACTTTTGGTAGCTGGGCTCCCTTCGCCAGCAGGCTCAGCCGACTTGCAGCCGGGGCTCGGAGTCCTTGGGTCGTAAAGGCTGATCCCGCTCAGGACGCTGCTTTGGCCAGGGCCCCTGCTCAGCCCTCCTGCCGTCAGCAGCCTGGGATCGTAGGGGGCTATGCTGGCGGCAGCCTCCGCCCCCACTGCTAGCGGGGGGCTGACCTCAGCCTGCTTGGCGGCTCCCGAGGACCCTGGCTCGGACGCCTTGGGCAACCGGGGGTCCGCGGGTGCTTTCCGTGTACGGGGATCGCTGGGCTTGTCAGCCTGCCCAGGGCTGCCGGCTGCATTGACTGTCTTTAATATCCTGGACAGCAGCTCAAAATCGGGAAGGCTGGAGCCAGGGCCGGCAGAGGGTTCTGGCTGGGGCCCTGCCCGCTGCCTGGGGTCAGAGACGCTGGCATTCTGAGGCCGGTTCAGGCGTGGATCAAGGGCGGGCAGGGCCTGGAGAGCAGGTGGGACAGGAACCGGTTCCTGCTTAGGGACAGGCAGGGGGATGAGGTCTTCGGGGCTCCACAGCACCATCCGTGCAAAGCTGGGCATAAGCAGGACGACGTCTTTCTTGATGTGGCTGAACTGCTGCAACTGGCAGCGAGGGTCCCTCAGGGAGAGGTTGGGCAGGGTGTCCAGAGGGATGGTGACCGGTTTGTCCCGCAGGGCCCTTTCCCCCTCCTCCTCCTCCGTGACCGGAACAGCCTTCTGGCTCACCGAAGGGCTCGAATGGAGAGCTTCCGCTGTTTTGGGGGCGGAGGCTGCGCTGTGCCGTGCCAGCCGTGGATCGGTGGGCCCTGCGTCTCCGGCTCCAGAGGGCTCCAGGTTTCGAGAGAGCCTGGGGTCACGCAGGAGCCGAGGATCGGCTGGCCGGCTCTTCTGAAGGCGGGGGTCGCTCCTGCCTCCCGAGGCCGGAATGGGGCTTCCGGAGGGGTCCTCGTGGGGTCTGCTGGAGCTCTGCTGCCGTAGAGTCTTCAGGATGGAGCTGACACTGCTGCCGCCGCCGCCATCCTCCTCATCACTGGAATACCAGTTGCCGGGATCACCTGGTAGAGAGGCAGAGAAGGCGGTGAGCCCACAGCGGCTCCCTCAGAAGCCTCTTCAAGAAGCAACCAAGAGTCATTTCAAAGCCACATTTCAAAGAGGAATCTCATTCACGGAAAGTCATCAACAAAACGGGCAAAACGATTTCCCAACACCGGCCGGAAATTTCTCTCTCCTTAGCCAACAAGGCTTCATCAGGAGGGGGGGAAGGGCACCCCACGGATGGGCCTTTCCTCCAGCAGCTCAAGTCCGTTACTTCGTGGAACCTGCTTCGTTTACTGGCCCAAAGTCCCCCCATTTCCCCAAAGCTGGAGATGGACCCGCGGTTTCTCGGGAGCCTCATCCGGCCCCTTAGCCAGCAAACCCCACCGGCTCTCCCGTTACCTGCAGGGGCTGTTTCATAGGAATGGGGCTGGGGAGCCCCCCTGCACAGAGCCTGACCCCACAGTTTCAGTAGGAAAAGCGAAGGGCACTTTCCTACCGTCCCTGTGGGGGTTGAATAAGCCACTTATTGCACTCAGGCAGTGAAATAGGCGCTCCCTGCCCTTCACCCTGCCAGAACGGAGCCTGGTCCTGGGTGGCTCTGCCAGACTGCCTCCCTGAGGGCTTCCAGGCCCCTCACCCAACAAGGAGCAGAGCCCCCCTCCCTCCCCCCTCGGCCCTTGCCTTCCTCGTGGTCTCGGTCCTGCTTGCAGCTCTCTGCCTGCCGGCGAGCTCTCTCTTCTTCCTGCTGCTTCTGCTGGATGCGGAGGTAGAGCGCCCTCGGGGTGGAAGGCAGGAAGTCTGGGATGCTGTTGGGGGGCTTCTGCAGCCGCGGGAGGCCTCCATCGCAGAAAGAATCTGGCTCCAGGGAGGGGTCGGGGAAAAGCCCTTCCCCAGGGATCTCCTCATAGCCTGGGTAGCCCTCTACCAAGGAAGGGGGGGGGGGAGACAGCAGTGAGAGCACTGGAACAGAAGGCAGCCACTCAGCCAGCCCCCTGCTGCCCCAAGGAGCACAAAGCCTCCCAGCCCAACCCGAGACTTGCCTGGGCCGACCATGAGGCTGGGGTCCATCTCCAGGCCTTCTGGGTGAAGGTAGAAGTTGTCGTAGAAGTCCTGTGTTGGGGGGCCGGGGGGCATCTCCTCGGGGCCAAAGGGCATCATGGGGGGTCCGGGGCCCAACGGAGGGCCAGGGTTCATCCCTGGGCCCATTGGCATATCGGGACAGATGTCCGGACAAAGGTCTGGGAGCATGTCTGGGGGCAGGTCGGGAGGCAGCTCCGGGTGCCCAGGCCCGGGGAACCGAGGTGGGGATGGGCCAGGATGCCTAGAGGGAAAGAGGGGTGGGGTTAGGCACCTCCTAATGCCGGCGGGCTCTTCATCTCGTTTCGGCCAATAATGGACAGGCCAGCGGGGCTGCCCAGGGAATCCAGGCACCTTGGACCTGCCCTCCACCAGGGCCGCACCAACTGTGGGGGAAGCCCCCTCCCCTTTTGCTTTGGCCCTCTGCATCCCCTCTCCCAAGACAGGGGGCAACACTTACCTCACCCCCAGCTTCTCCGCCAGCTGCCCCGTCGGCCTCACAACAATCTCAAAGAGGGAAGGGATCTTCTTGTACAAGTCCTGCTGCTGCTGCAGCTGCTGCTGCGGCGAGAGGGGCTCGTGGAGCGGGAGGGGCATCTGTGGGGGCCCTGGGGGAGGAAGGGGAGGGGGAGGGGCGGGGGGCCCTCCGGGCATGGGCCGGCCATTAGGGGAGGTCGGAGCTGGGGGCCCCGGAGGACGCGGGGGAGTGGGCAGCAATCCCACCCCAGGAGGCGGCTTGGGTAATGGGTTGATGCCCTGCTTCTTCAACTCCTCCACTTCCTTCTCATCCTCTGCTCCGGCTTCTGCGTCGTCCGCCAACATCTAAGAGGCAGAGGCAAAGGCTGGGGTCAGTTTCTCCAGCCGCGTCTCCCACCGTGCTGAGCCGGCTGAGGCCTCCCTCCCTTCACCTTATCAAGGAGTTCCCGAGTTTCATCCGTGAGCGGTTCGTGCGAGAACATGCAGTCGTCTCCGTTAATGCAGTTCCCAGTGGTGTGGAAGAGCTTACAAGGGAAGTCCCGTGCCAGGTGTTGAGGAAAGCACGAAGAAAAAAGGGACCCAGGGACCCACCAGCACCAGGAGATCCAAGGTTTCACCGTCTTTGCTCCCCCAAAAGCTCTCCCCTTTGCGATCAGCCAGGCCTCTGTGCAAGGAGAGGCAGATCAGGGGACCGGAACCCCCCCCCAAACCCTGTGCTGAAACGCTGAACGAAAACGCCTGGAAAGGATATCATGCATGTAAGGACAATTCTCCGCCCGGGCACAATAACCAGTGATGTAAAACTTGCAGAGTTCCCTCTTCTTTGGCAGCTCAATATCGTGGCTGAAGTTGCAGTGCTCCCCCTGGCAGGAAAAATGCAAAAGACACAACCTCTCAGGCACAAGAGAACATCCCCAGCCGACAGGAGGCAAAGCGTCTCACCCTGGCCTCACTGGGAGAAGGGCTGGTGGTTACAGCCACGGCAATCATTCAGTCCTATCCCCTCCTCCTGCCTCCTCCAGACTGATCTGAAATCTGAATTATGTTTGTTGGGGATTTTACCAGAAACGTCAAGAAAATGTATACTTGATAATTCACGTAATAAGTGCAGCTAGGATTGTACTTGAGAGACCGCCTACTGCCAATTACTTCCACTAGGCCAATAAGATCCCATAGACTAGGCCTCCTCCGAATCCCATCAGCCGGTCAATGTCGACTGGCAACTACCCGGAGGAGAGCCTTCTCGGTGGCTGCTCCGACCCTATGGAATGAACTCACCACCCTCCAGACCTTCCGCGTAGCCCTTAAAACCTGGCTGTCCCGACAGGCCTGGGGCTAAAGACTTCAAC